TCAAACGGTGGAAGAACCATTCTTCAACCGGATTATAATTCAAAGGTCCGTAAATGTAGACTGGCCTCAAAGATGTCCAGTTGACACCCCTCTTCTCGAGTAAGCTCTCGGTATTAAGCTTTCCCTTGTGCCTACTCTTTGGATCGACTGCATCAACCTATCGGCGAGCCACCAACGAGTTAGAAGAGATTAACAAAAGCCAATGGAACATGAGTGAAAACTGGCAATGCCTACCTCACAATGTGGTAAAATATCAGATTTGAGGTAAACACCAGCTGAGGAGCAGTATATGAACCTGGGAATTAGCAAAGCATTAGAATATGGCATCGACACCGTTTTGACACCGGTTTAAGACATATAAACCAATACAACTATCGATTCAACTTACTGTTGCAGATTTGGGAGTGCATCCATATCGGTTCGACTTCAACCGCCTCTCGTCCTGAAAATCGTATCAAAAGGATTCTCTACTTGAAACACAGATCTATCCTAGTGGAAAAGCAAAACACAGAACGAGCACGAGACGAGTACCATTATGTCGTACACCACATCAAAGCCTTCGGCAGAAAGACTCGATTTCACGAACTCGAAGTCCTGTCTATCTCCTTTCAGATGCAAGATCTACCAAATCAAAACCAGTCATACAAAACCACTCATGTTGTCAACCGAAAAGCAAGATTATTAAACCTTTTCAAGGCATCATACCTTGGATTTAAAATCAGAGTAGTCGCTGTCTGATTCACCAGGCAATTGTTGTGTGACCGGTGCTTTACCTCTAGTGAACAAAGTGACCTGCCAAAGGATCATGAGCCATAATCAGCTTCCAATGCAGTGGCGGATCTAGAAATATTTGAATTTCAATGCTCACCCTCAATAAGGTGTGGATCTGTCACTGTTCCAACTTCCAATGCATAAATTTTACATTAGTTTAGATTCAAATGTGTACCTGATGACCCTCTTTCACTAGGAGTCTAGACAAAAAAAACACCGATGAAGCGAGTGCCCCCCATTATAAGGATCTTCTTGGTGCTGGATGCTGCAACATGCAATGCACCCTTTGGCTGATACACCTTTCTTTTGTACTGCAACAAGGTGAAGTGCTTTAAGTTTAGGGGCCTAAATGAACATAACGTTCGTATAACGTTTATTTATTAAGTTAAATAAATTAGTATGAACTATGAACAAAATTTATATATATATTTAATAAGCAAATGAATATGAATAAAGGTGCCTTCGGTTTATTTATGGTCATAAACAAACTCGTTTAAAAGTTTGTATATAAGCTCGTTAATCGACTCGTTTACGAGCTACTTTACTTGGTTCTCCTTGAACAGGAACATATATAAAAATAAGCAAACAAACACGAAAATAATATTAAAAATTAAAATGAGTCAAAACCGAATATGAATGTTCAAAAATAAACAAACGAATACCAATACAATATTATTCATTCAAATCCGGTTCATTTACATTCCTAGTCAAGTTTAAGCCGCCCAGGGAAGCATTTTTCAGTAGAGAAATGTGATGAGAGAGAGAGAGGGAGAGACCTGGATTTGGCAGAGTTTGGTGCCATTGAAGTGGGAGAGGGAGGAAGAGAGGAGGGAGATGGGAGGCTGCCTCGTTACCTGCTGCAACACCACCACCTTTGCCATGCCTCTTTGCCTTTGCTTGAGGTTGTGAATTAGTGACTGAAACTTGAACAAGTATGAGCGTCATGTTTTATCTCTTTCAACGCACGATCAGGATAAGACCTTTGCTTATATCCACAGCCTCTCCTTCTGTTGGACTCTATCTATCATATCCAGCGTTGGAAACAAAAATTTATTAAGGTGGAGTTAAAATATTTTTTATTTATTTTTTTAAATATATATATTAATATTAATTAATATTTAAAAAAAAAAATTAGCGGGACCAAGCTCCTCTTAACCCCGTGAAATTCCGCCTACGAACATATCGAAAATTTTGAATTTTCTTTTAATTTATGTTTAATTTTATCGTTAATTATTTATCTATTAACTAAATTCTTTAAGTTTATCAAAGTGATAAAACTGTAAATATAAGTAGAGATGATTATGGATTATGTTGAGTTTTTGATTTATTCAAATTTGATCTAAATATAATATTCATCCACCCTTTCATTCTATTTGGTTTAGGTTTGAAATTCTTTTACTCAGTTTTCAAGGTAAAATTTTATTGTTGATCGGACCTGACACATATATAATCCTCACTTTTATTAGTTGAAATATAATTTTTTAATAATTTAGGTAATTATAAGATAACATATAATTAATTTTTTTAATTAATTGACAACACACTATACAAACACAACTACTCAAACTCAAGACTTATTATCTATTACTAGTAAGTCCATTTGATTAGTTCAAATAAACAAGAGTTCTAATTAAAAAAATTATAGAAAAAAGAGTTTTATAACAATCATCTTTAAATATATAAATGTAAATTATACTATTATTCTCGAATTAAATATTTTTCACGTTAAATCTACCCAATTTTATCTTTCAAAAATTTCAACTCAAATCTAAAATTTTAAAAATAAAAATATGACTCTATAAAATCAGGTGGGCTTAAATCGAGACCCCGTGTGCATGTAAAATTGTACCGATTTGTATGATAAGCCCCCCATGAGTTTAGATTCTTAACGGTCTGCCGCAGTAACATTTGGTGGTAAATAAAAGAACCAAATATTGAGAAGGGTAAATCCGAGTAATTCCTTGAAAATTAGGGACCTTCTCACGTGAATATCCCTCATTTCACCTGGATCTATAAACAAAGGAAAACCAAAACAGTTTCGATAAAAGTATGCGAAAAACCCTGAAAATTTTCCAAAAGATTCATAACCCCATCAAATTCTAGCTTATCCCTATAATGGACTTCGCTCAGGTGAGTTGGATCTATCTCTCTTTTAATCCCTCCATTTTTCTTTTTGCTAGTTTATCTAATTTCCTTGATTTTGTACCTACTTGTTCTATGCATGATGCTGTGCTCGGATTGGTTAACTGGTAGTTCTGAGTTTTTTCCTTAGAAATTTCGACTTTGAAGCGTGCCCTTTTGTTTGTTTGATGATAAAACGGATGAAATCTGACAATTTGTAAGCAAAGGTTGGTAAGAACACTAGGTTGTTATAAAGTAGATCCTAAGATCCAACTTTGGACTGAAAAATGTTCATCTTTTATGTTGCCTCAATGATTTGGTTGAAGAAAGACGGTGAATTGAACAACCCCATTGCTTATTGGAACATGAAAACTAGATAGACATTTTACAAATTTGAGATCCAGATTTTTATTTGGTGCTTAAGAGTACTGGTTTGATGCTTTAAAATGATTTTACTTCTCTTTTTGTGCAGCCTGCAGTTGAAAATTATGCCAACCCCAGGACGTGTTTCTTTCATGTTCTCTTCAAGGTCAATTGTTTTCTGCATCTAATTATCTTGATCTTGTGAATCCGATTTGTATGCCTTTTTTCCGGTGTTGATGCTTAGTTCTTTTTTCCTGCAGGCTGCGGCATTGGCCTTTTACATCCTTTCTGCTCTCTTTCTCAACAGCTTTGTGATCATTTTTGTGGTGACTGTTCTTCTTTCTGCTCTTGACTTTTGGGTGGTTAAGAATGTTAGTGGACGTATATTGGTCGGTTTGAGGTGGTGGAATGAAATTAATGATCTCGGGGAGAGTGTATGGAGATTTGAATGTCTTGACCAAGAGGTGAGTGTTTCGCTTAATTGAACCATACATACTTTTTAGATTTAACATTATCAAGTCTCTCAATTGTTCACTGTTGCTGTCTATTTTAGTCATTGGCCCGGATGAACAAGAAAGATTCATGGCTATTTTGGTGGACCCTTTACCTTTCGGTAAGTTATCCCATGGCATACTATGTAGAGATAGGTAAAGATGTGTGTCCCAAATGTTCAGATTCATTAATTCATTCTTTAATTTTTCAGGCTGTTGCCTGGATTGTGCTTGGAATATTCTCCCTCATAAGGTTTCAAGCTGATTATCTCCTCGTTGTTGGAGTTTGTTTGACTCTCAACATTGCCAATATCGTGGGCTTCACCAAATGCCGCAAAGGTTGGTTTGTTTACTATAATTACAATGCTCGGTTGAGTACGACATCATATTGCTACAAGGAAATGACATGTGATTATTAAATTAATTATGACTTGGTCTTGAATAATTCATGATAGGTGCAAAATAGGTTTTCCTAGATGTTTATGACTCAGCCTGAATATCTCTGGGATTTTTAGATTAGCGCATATTGCCATGACTCATGTACTTTAGATATTGTGATGACTTTTCCCCTGGATACCATATACTGCATTTTATCGATCATTTGACTACATGATTGGTGTTATTGGTTTGCATAAGGAGACCAACCATCTGGGTAGTGATTCCTCTCGGTGTAAATCGGGCAATAGCCATTCTTGCATTTGCTTTTGTTTCTGCATGTATTCTCTGGTTTTTGCAGGTTGTAGTTTTGAATTGTTTTTGCCCTATGTATTTAGTTTGAGATGATAAGTGATGACGCTTTGTTAATACGTTATTGGTGCTAAGATTTGAGAGTGCATGTACTCATTGTTGGAAAAATGTTGACCATAAATTATGTTTTTGGTCCTTTCAGATGCCAAGAAGCAGATTCAACAGTTCGCCACCCAGACCATTGCTTCGAGATTTTCTTCCACCATACAATCGGCATTTAGTGTTGTCTGAAACAGTCGATAGTAATATACGAGAACGAAATGGAAGAAAATGTAGTGAAGTTAACAAGTGTGGCATGTAGAAAACTGAGTATTGAATTTGCCATTTTTGATTGGTTTCATTTTTCAAATGGTACATCTAATGCTTTGTATAATGAATCACATTGAAAGTTTGTAATGACAATGTTCCTTCACTTGCAAGATACCATGACCTACGATGGTTATTTCAAGACAATTTCTATTTTTTTGTTCGGTAAAAATTAACAATGAGTAAAGGCCATCAATTTCATGCTTTACACTTCTCCATTTCCATATATTTCTAGCTTCCATTGTTGGCTATGTACGCCATCAATTTCCTCCGCAATTCCACCATGAAGCTTCCTTCAAGGGTCCTAAGCCTTAGAAATGCATCGTGTTCGGGGTTCAAACATTCGTTTAATCCCCCTTGTTGTGATCAAAAGATTTCTTGCAAAGCGAAAGATTTTCCCTTGAATTTCAATCAAAACTCTCAATTCTGTGCCTTCCCTTTTCGATTCTTAGGCTCACAACACATTATCAACAATACCCAGAATTTGAATTGCTTACCAAGATCGGGTTTTGCTTCTTCTAGGCCATATGGTGTCTCTATTCAAGCCAGGGTAGCTTTGAGGGTTCGTTGTTTCTCAACATTGTTTGAAACCAGTGTAAAAGATAAGAGTTTCGAGAGACTCCGTGTTCAAAACGAGAATAACGTTAAGCCACGCATTGTTGAAAGAGTTGGCAAGGATGAAAACACCGTAAGAGGAAATTTTCCTCTAGTTGAAGGTGAAAACAATGTGAAGAATGTTGGGGAGGGTTTACAGGAGAAGAAGGGTGGGATTTTAGCAGAGAGCGACATCGAAAAGGAGGCATGGAGTCTGCTGAGAGATGCAGTTGTGACGTATTGTGGGTCTCCTGTTGGTACGGTGGCAGCAAATGATCCTGGTGATAAGCAGCCTTTGAATTATGACCAGGTTTTCATTCGTGATTTCGTGCCTTCGGCTTTGGCTTTCTTGCTTCGAGGTGAAGGAGAGATTGTCAAGAACTTTCTCCTGCATACCTTGCAGTTGCAGGTATACATACATACATTCATATATATAACACTATATATTATACATGTTCACTTGTTTTTAATCTAGAGTAGGGAGAAAACTGTGGATTGCTATAGTCCAGGACAGGGTTTGATGCCGGCAAGCTTTAAGGTTACAACTGTACCTCTTGATGACAATAAGTTCGAGGAAGTACTAGATCCAGATTTCGGTGAATCCGCTATTGGTCGTGTTGCACCGGTCGACTCTGATTGGTATATTGCGGTACTTCGTAGACCTATTACTAATGCGAATTAAGTTTACTGAAATCGCTTTGTTGATAGGATTGCGGTGGATCATATTGTTGAGGGCATACGGGAAGATCACAGGTGACTATGCATTGCAGGAGAGAGTGGACGTTCAAACAGTAATAAAACTGATCCTTAACTTGTGTTTAGCCGATGGATTCGATATGTTTCCGTCTCTGTTAGTCACCGACGGATCAAGCATGATAGACCGAAGGATGGGTATTCACGGTCATCCTCTCGAGATTCAAGTGAGTTCATTTGTTGAGTCGGTCTATGTTACCTGGTCTCAATGAGCCAGGTTGCTGTTTTATCTGTCATCTAAAATGTTTGATCTGCAGGCTTTGTTTTACTCCGCCCTACGTTGCGCTCGTGAGATTCTTAACGATAAATGCTCCAAGAATTTGGTGAGTGCCATCAACAATAGACTGAGTGCACTATCATTCCACATCAAAGAATACTTGTAACCCCCATACCCGGTCTGTAAGATAGACCCAAACCTAAGCGGGTCACATATCCCATTCAGAAGTTTTTTTTATATATAACTTATAGAACGTTAAATATAATATAGAACATAATATTAATAATACAGATATGTCCAAAACGATAATAAAATACATGTCACCAAACATAACCGAAAAACATATAGAAATAAATGTTCGTACAAAATAAAGTAGTTGATTTCTCCTGATGCCAAATCTGCTAGCTTACGGTCTGCTGTTATCTGAAAAAGGTTAAAATTTACATAATGAGCTAAAAAGCCCAGTGCGCTCCAAACAGTGTATAAAAACATACTAACGAAATATTTCAATAAAATTTGTTTATGCACATGTTTTGAAAACATGAACACTACCCCCATCCTTTCACAATCTGTTTGTGTAGGTTCCCCAGAACCATACACCCCGCACAACCAGTAACAGTAAGGCCCTGAGCACACAGCCGAGGAGCCTGCAGTAATCTTCCTCCAACAAATATTCCCCCCAATGATAGAAATGAACATGAATATATTCGTATAAAACAATGAATAATTCTTTAAAAACATAAGAATATTTCAAGCTTGAAAACCATAAACAGAAATACATAAATCAAAAATCAAATCAGTAATGTATGGTAATTCAGATGTTGGGTAATCAGTATTCAGAAAACGGAATAAATACCGTAACCAGAAATCATATAAGAAATATACAGTAAATCAGAAATCAGATACACAATATTCAAATATTTATATACTTTAAAACAATAATATAACACTATCAGGAAACACACCTGTAACAGTCTGGGAAATCAGATAGGGAAGCCTATTACTGGGTCTGTCGATCACGTTCTGCTGCAGCGCTAGATCCTACGAATTGGAAAAATCCATATTGGAATCCTAATATAAATAATCTAAATATTATTTAAATAATATACGGAAACCTACGGGTAATTCTCGTAGTACGTGATTCAGGATGATCTAACGAACGGATAACACCGTACCTAATTGATCCTTGCTCAGGTGAAACACGAGGACCTTCATAAAATATTTTTATTGAATAAATCCTTGACCAAATCTCATTTAAATAATCAAAATATTAAAATATTAAGCCTTTTGGGTTTACAAGCTCGATTCGGGAATTTCGGGTCAGAATTTGGCAAAACGGACTTCGGAATTATATTCAGGACGTCGAAAAACATAAAGTATGACCTTCCGAAATTTCGAATTCTCGGTCAAAATTAAAGTCAACGGGTTTGACTGATGATTTGGAGACTTTCGGGTTTGAATTTAGCAAAACGGACCTCAAAAACGGATTCGGGACGTCGAAAACTGTCAGGATAGGTATTTTCGGAAAAGATTAACGGTCGTTTAATAGCCGGTCAAAGCCGGTCAAAGTTCTTGTCAACGGAGGTAAACAAATTGAACATTTTACACAAATAGCACCTTTTTAAAATAATTAACAAAATAGCACCCTTTTCGAATTAATTATAAAAAAGCACCAATTTCGAATTAATTCCCAGAATATCACTTTTTTTAAAAAATACCAAAATAACACCTATTTCAAATTAATTCCCAGAATAGCACCAAAACTGAATTAATTCCCAAAATAGCACCGGTCAACGGTCAACGGTCGGGTCGGGTCAACGGGTAGGATCGGGTCGACGGGTCGGGTCATGACCGATCAAACCGGTTTCCAGATTTCACTCGCCCTACGGCGGCGCGTGTGGCGTGTGCGACGTCTTCCGGGGCTCTAAAAATCACGGAAAAATTTCTAAAAATTATTTTGAGCGATTTCGAGATACTTACAAAGATCGGTTCAAATTTTTAAACAGCGGAGAGCTCGATTTCGACTCAGGCGAATCTTTGGCTGATCCACATCCCCACGCGCCGCCGTCGACGGAGACTGAGGATGACACCGGCGGACTCGAAACGGCACAAGAAACACGATGGTGCGGGAGGTGTCGTAAACGGAGCAACGATCGGCGATGAATTTAGGATTTTCTAGGTGATTGAGCTAAAAAAAACGTCGATACTTTGACTTGAAATTCACGACATTTGGCAGCGTTTTGCTTCAATTAAATTGAGGAGATTGTTCCTGACTCGATAACGAACACGATGGTGCTTTCAAAATGGCGATCAGAATTCGGACGGCGTCGGGATCGTCGTCGTAAGTTGAGGTTGGGAAACAAGCTACAAGTTTAAAGAACTTCCAATTTAGTCCCCAAATTTCACCAATTTTCATAATTAACCTCAAATTTCAATTAAACATTATTTTATAATTTTTGGGTGGTTACAATTTTCCCCTCTACAAGAAATTTCGTCCTCGAAATTTACCTTATGAAAATAGATGAGGAAATTGAACCTCCATTGACTCCAATGTCTCCCAAGTAACTTCTGAGGGGCTACGATTACTCCACTGAACTTTGACCATTGGAATACGCTTATTCTGAAGAATTCACTCATCTTTCTCTAAAACCTGAACAGGCTCCTCCTCATATGACAAATCAGGTCTCAGCTCTACCTCATCAACCTGAATGATGTGATTTGGATCTGGACGGTATCGCCTCAATATAGATACATGAAAAACATCATGAATACGTCTGAGCTGGGAAGGCAACTCAAGCTGATAAGCAACATGTCCAACTTTCTTCAGAATACGATAAGGCCCAATAAATCGCGGACTCAGTTTACCCTTACGTCCAAATCTCAATACTTTCTTCCATGGAGATACCTTAAGGAAAACCTGATCTCCAACCTCAAACTCAATATCCTTACGTCGCTTATCTGCGTATGATTTCTGCCTATCAAATGCCTCTCTTAAGCGATCACGGATCAATCTGACAGTATCTTCAGTCTCTCGTACCAAGTCTGGACCCAAAGTTTTTCTATCATGTAACTCTGTCCAACATATAGGAGTACGGTATCTACGTCCATACAGAGCCTCATACGGTGCCATGCGAATACTCGCCTGATAACTATTATACCACGAAAATCAATCACACAACCTCTTAACATATCCTCCAACACCTGAATCACTCGCTCAGACTGTCCATCAGTTTGAGGATGAAAAGCTGTACTGAAATTCAAACGAGTACCCAGAGCCTCGTGCAAAGCTTTCCAGAACCTGGAAGTGAATCTCGGATCTCGATCAGATATGATAGACAACGGAATACCATGAAGTCTAACGATCTCAGAAATGTACAACTTAGCCAGTTTATCCAGAGAATAATTAACCCGAATAGGGATAAAGTGCGCTGACTTGGTGAGTCGATCAATAATCACCCATATAGAATCCTTTTTGGAAGGAGTTAGAGTAAGACCAGTAACGAAGTCCATCGTGATGCGCTCCCATTTCCACTCAGGAATCTTAATTGATTGTAACAATCCAGATGGATGTTTGTGCTCTGCCTTAACCTGCTGACAAGTCAAACACCTCGCCACAAAATCTGAAATATTCTTTTTCATACCAGTCCAAAAGTAGCGCTCTTTGAGATTTTTGTACATTTTGTCCCCACCAGGATACATAGCATAAGGACTACTATGAGCCTCCTGAAGAATAACCCGTCTCAACTCATCATCTTTAGGGACGCAGTAACGACCGTGAAAACACAAAATACCATCATGATCCACCATATACTCCGAACTCAATCCTTGCTTAACTTGTTCAATAATGAGAAGCAACGAGCTATCAAGGAGTTGTTTGGCCTTAATCTCCTCGGCCAAAGTAGGTTTAACCTGTAACTCTGCTAACAAACTATTATCATCAAATAAGCTCAAGTTGGCAAATAAGGCTCTGAGATATGATATCGTCTTACGGCTCAAGGCGTCTGCCACTACATTAGCCTTCCCTGGATGATATTCTATCTCAAAATCATAGTCCTTTAAAAGCTCCAACCAGCGACGCTGTCTCAAATTAAATTTTTTCTGAGTAAGCAGATACTTCAGACTCTTATGATCAGTATAGATATAACACTTTTCTCAGTAGAGGTAGTGTCTCCAGATATTTAAAGCAAAAACCACAGCAGCTAATTCCATATCGTGAGTAGGATAGTTACGCTCATGCGGCCTTAACTGACGTGACGCATAAGCAACAACTTTCCTATCTTGCATCAAAACACATCCTAATCCAGAATAAGAAGCATCACTGTAGACAGAAAAATCCTTCCCAGATTCAGGCTGAATCAACACTGGGTCTTGAGTTAGAACAGTCTTCAATTTCTCAAAGCTAGCTTGTTGGTCCTCAGACCAGACAAATGGAACATATTTCCTCAATAGTTTCGTCAGATGAACTGCAATAAGGGAGAACCTCTCAACGAAACGACGGTAGTAACCCGCTAAGCCCAAGAAACTACGGATCTCAGAGACGTTTCTGGGTTGCTTCCAGTTCAGAATAGCCTCCACTTTGCTCGGATCCACCTGAATGCCATCATCAGAGACGATATGTCCAAGAAAAGTCACTTCGCTGAGCCAGAACTCACACTTGCTCAACTTAGCGTATAGCTTATTCTCCCTTAGAGTCTGAAGAACAATCCTTAAATGCTTCTCATGTTCTGCTTCACTTCTAGAATACACCAGTATGTCATCAATGAATACAACTACAAAACTGGTCCAAATAAGGTCGAAACACCCTATGCATCAGATCCATAAAAGCAGCAGGGGCATTAGTTAACCCGAATGACATCACTAAAAACTCATAGTGCCCATATCGAGTACGGAAAGCAGTCTTCGGAATATCCGAATCTTTCACTTTGAGTTGATAATAACCAGATCTCAAGTCTATCTTTGAAAAGATAGAAGCCCCTCCAAATTGGTCAAATAGATCATCGATCCTGGGCAGAGGATATTTATTTTTAACAGTGAGCTTGTTCAGTTTTCTATAATCAATACAGTCTCAATGTCCCATCTTTCTTCTTGACAAAAGAGAACTGGAGCTCCCCACGGTGATACACTAGGTCGAATAAATCCCCTGTCCAACAACTCCTGAAGTTGAACTTTTAGTTCCTTAAGCTCCTTTGGGGCCATACGATAAGGAGCCATTGAAACCGGGGTGGAACTAGAATAGATTTCAATCACAAACTCGACTTCTCTATCTGGAGGTAATTCAAGCAACTCCTCGGGAAAAACATCGGGAAATTCCTTGACAATTTGGATGCCTTCAATATCGGATTGCGATCTCCTAGTGTCCAAAATATAAGCAAGAAATGCCTCAGAACCCTTCCTGATCATCTTCTCTGCTACCAAGGCAGACAAAACATTCGTCAGAAATCCACATCGTTCCCCGATCATTACAATCTTTCGATTATCTGGGGTCTTCAGAACATCTCTCTTAGTCTCAAAATTAATATTTACTCGATGTTTGTCCAACCAATCTACGCCGAGAATCAAATCGAACTCTTCAAAGGGTAACTCCATCAGGTCAGCCAGAAAAATCTCCCCATTGATCTCTATAGGGCACTCTCTAAAAATACGATCCAACACGATGGATTTGCCTAAGGGACTTTGAACTATCACTGAACTCTCAATATTCTCAACAGGAATATTTAGACCCTTAGAAACGGAATGTGATACATAGGAATTTGTAGAGCCACTATCAAACAATGTAAAGTATGGAACTGAAAAAATAGTAACAGTACCTGAAGTCACATTAGGTCCATCACGATCTTGTCGAAGTCTAGCAGTGTAAACCAATGCAGGTTGTCTGGCCTCAGATTTGACTGGACCCCTACTCTGAGATGCTCGGCCTCTACTAGCTAATCCAGGTGCTCTCTCCTAAGTACGACCACCCGCAGGAGTTTGAACAGTACTCTGAGTACGAGCGGGAGTACGAGCTGGTGTCTGAACTGAATGAGTTATCTCCGGACAATCCTTTACAATATGGTCACTTGAACCACATCTGAAACATATACCCAATTTCTTCCTGCATTCCCCATAATGAGGTTTCCCACAATAATTACATGACTGCAAAGATTGCAACCCAGAAGATCCACCATGTCTAGAAGATTGAACAGTTGAAGAACCAGATGCAACAGGTCTGACACTCTTACCACCTCTCTGAAAGGACTCACCCTGCCTCTCTTTCTAGGGTGTGCTGAAGAATCAACAGAACCAGAAGGCCTCCTGAATCGGGTTTGAGTTCGATCACTATCTCTCATGTGCTCCATACCCAGTCGCTCTATTTCCTCAGCAGTCTTGGCTATCTCAACCAAAGCATCAAAATTCCTCTCTCGATAGGTAGCGACTCGACTCCTGATCTCATACCTGAGTCCATTCTCGAACCTCAAGCATCGATCTGTCTCAGTGTCCACAAGTCCAGGAGCATATCGGCTCAATTGGATGAACTCAACCTCGTAATCCATAACAGACATATTACCCTGCTCCAGATTCTGAAACTCCTGGCGTCGCTCCTGCAGATATCTTTCTCCGATGTAGCGACTCCGGAAGCGCGTCTTGAAAAGATCCCATGTTAATTGGTTCCTCGGAATACTACCAGAAATGGATTGCCACCATCTGAAGCTTTCTTTCTTCAACATAATTAGGGCCCCCTTCAACTTCTGCTCAGGTCTGAGGTCCATTTCATCCATAATCCTCTTTGTGTCCTCCAGCCAATACTCAGTGTCTGTCGGAGGTCCACCAGTAATATCCTCGAATGGAATTACACCAGCAGCGACCAAAGAATTTGAAATCTCCACTGCAGTTATGTTACTAAGGGCTCTAGCAGCTCTCTGAAACATGCATAAGATAGCTCTATTAATGGCGTCTTCATTCATCTCAGTATCATCATCCTCAGTGACGGGAGGGTCTCTCACGGGAGTAAATTGATCATCATGAGAAAGAGTCGGATCTACTTGCGGAACAGGAGGATCACGTGGTGACATCGGATCGTCTATCGTAACAGAAGGTCGAGTGACTCTCCCTCTACCACGTCCACGTCCTGTCCTACGACCTCTAACAACATTCATCGTTGGATCTATAAGGCTCTACATAAAGAATTTGAAACATATGTCAGATTAGCATCAGGGACCTCGAGAAAACTTTAAATCATAACATAAGGTGACATTTTTTTTATTTCTTAAAAATTCAAAGTTTAGGACCCATATACAGTCCGAGTGTTTAAAACCGAAAGCTCTGATACCACCAAATGTAACCCCCCAGACCCGGTCTGTAAGATAGACCCAAACCTAAGCGGGTCACATATCTCATTCAGAGGTTTTTTTTTATATATAACTATAGAACGTTAAATATAATATAGAACATAATATTAATAATACAGATATGTCCAAAACGATAATAAAATACATGTCACCAAACATAACCGAAAAACATATAGAAATATATGTTCGTACAAAATAAAATAGTCGATTTCTCCTGATGTCAAATCTGCTAGCTTACGGTCTGCTGTTATCTGAAAAAGGTTAAAATTTACAGAATGAGTTAAAAAGCCCAGTGTGCTCCAAACAGTGTATAAAAACATACTAACGAAATATTTCAATAAAATTTGTTTATGCACATGTTTTGAAAACATGAACACTACCCCCATCCTTTCACAATCTGTTTGTATAGGTTCCCCATAACCATACACCCCGCACAACCAGTAACAGTAAGGCCCTGAGCACACAGCCGAGGAGCCTGCAGTAATCTTCCTCCAACAATATTCCCCCCCAAATATAGAAATGAACATGAATGTATTCGTATAAAACAATGAATAATTCTTTAAAAACATAAGAATATTTCAAGCTTGAAAACCATAAGCAGGAATACAGAAATCAAAAATCAAATCAGTAATGTATGGTAATTCAGATGTTGGGTAATCAGTATTCAGAAAACGGAATAAATACCGTAACCAGAAATCATATAAGAATATACAGTAAATCAGAAATCAGATACACAGTATTCAGATATTTATACTTTAAAACAATAATATAACACTATCAGGAAACACACCTGTAACAGTCTGGGAAATCAGATAGGGAAGCCTATTACTGGGTCTGTCGATCACGTTCTGCTGCAGCGCTAGATCCTACGAATTGGAAAAATCCATATTGGAATCCTAATATAAATAATATAAATATTATTTAAATAATATACGAAAACCTACGGGTATTTCTCGTAGTACGCGGTTCAGGCTGATCTAACGAACGGATAACACCGTACCTAATTGATTCTTGCTCAGGTGAAACACGAGTACCTTCATAAAATATTTTTATTGAATAAATCCTTGACCAAATCTCATTTAAATAATCAAAATATTAAAATATTAAGCCTTTTGGGTTTACAAGCTCGATTCTGGAATTTCGGGTCAGAATTTGGCAAAACGGACTTCAGAATTATATTCAGAACGTCGAAAAACATAAAGTATGACCTTCCAAAATTTCGAATTCTAGGTTAAAATTAAAGTCAACGGGTTTGACTTACGATTTGGAGACTTTTGGGTTTGAATTTAATGAAACGGACCTTAAAAACGAATTTGGGACGTCGAAAACTATTAGGATAGGTATTTTCAGAAAAGATTAACGGTAGTTTAATAGCCGGTCAAAGTTCTGGTCAAAGATGTCAACAAACTGTCAAACATTTTACACAAATAGCACCCTTTTTAAATAATTACCAAAATAGCACCCTTTTCGAATTAATTCCCAAAGTAGCACCACTTTCAAATTAATCCCCAGAATATCATTTTTCGAAATAATTACCAAAATAGCATTCATTTGGAATTAATTCTTAGAATAACACCAAAACTAAATTAATTCACAGAATAGCACCGGCCAACGGTCAACATTCGGGTCGGGTCAACGGGTCGGATCAGGTCAACGGGTCGGGTCATGACCGGTTAAACCGGTTTCTAGATTTCACTCGCCCTGCGGCGGCGCGTGCGACGTCATCCGGGGCTCTAAAAATCACGGAAAATTTTCTAAAAATTATTTTGAGCGATTTCGAGATACTTACAAAGACCGGTTCAAATTTTTGAACGACGGAGAGCTCGATTTCGACTCGGTCGAATCTTTGACTGATCCACCTCCCCATGCGCCGCCGTCGACGGAGACCGAGGATGACACCGGCGGACTCGGAACGGCACAAGGAACACGATGGTGCGGGAGGTGTCGTAAACAGAGCAACGATCGGCGATGAATTTAGGATTTTCTAGGCGATTGAGCTAAAAAAAGGTCGATACTTTGACTTGAAATTCACGACGTTTGGCAGCGTTTTGCTTCAATTAAATTGAGGGGATTGTTCCTGACTCGATAACGAACACGATGGTGCTTTCAAAACAGCAATCGGAATTCGGACGGCGTCGGGATCGTCGTCGGAAGTTGAAGTTGGGAGAGGGAAATTTGGGAGGAATTGGTTTCTGATTTTCAGAAACCAATTCACGTATATAACAACCAATACCTAATATTTTAGGGTAAATTCAGGGTTTGGTCCTTGAATTTTCTTTAACTCTAAAACAAGCTACAAATTTAAAGAATTTCCAATTTAGTCCCCAAATTTCACCAAATTTCATAATTAACCTCAAATTTCAATTAAACATTATTTTGTAATTTTTGGGTGGTTACAATACTATTGGGTTGACATGAAAAAGCTCAACGAGATTTATCGGTATAAAACGGAAGAGTACTCCATGGATGCTACCAACAAGTTCAATATTTATCCAGAGCAAATCCCTTCATGGCTTATGGACTGGATACCAGAAGGCGGCGGTTATCTAATCGGAAATCTACAGCCAGCTCACATGGATTTTAGGTTCTTCACACTCGGGAATCTCTGGTCGATTGTTTCATCACTGGGCACTCCGAAACAGAACAAAGCTATACTCTACTTAATCGAAGCCAAATGGGATGATATTGTGGGACATATGCCTTGCAAGATAAGTTATCCCGCCGTGGAGAACGAGGAGTGGCGCATAATTACTGGCAGTGACCCAAAGAATACGTGAGTCTCTTGCCCTTTATGTATTATCTACGTGTATATTTCCTCTTATGTATTATCTACCGACACCGGTGTATTTAACGAAATGTGCAGTCCGTGGTCGTATCATAATGGCGGATCTTGGCCAACGCTTCTTTGGCAGGTAAACATGAATTTTCTTTTATGTCGAAGAACCCCTTGTCTAGAATGCCCTTTTATACAAACAACATTGTCCCGTGATGCTTTCATGGAGTTAAACTCACAATCTTGTATTACCCTTAGTTTACATTGGCATGCATCAAGATGGACAGATTACAATTAGCCCAGAAGGTAGTTTCTTTGGCCGAGAAGAGGCTCTCGATTGACCGATGGCCTGATTACTACGACACCTGTAGCGGGAAGTTCATCGGAAAACAATCTAGCCTTTACCAAACATGGACTATCGCCGGTTTCCTAACCTCTAGAATTATGGTGGAGAATCCACAGTTGGCTTCCATGTTATTCTGGGAGGAGGACTACGAGCTTCTCGAGATCTGCGGTTGTGCACCTAACAAAAGTGGCCGGAAGAAATGTTCACGCGGCGCTGCTAAATCTCAGATACTCGTCTAATTCGAACTCCGTTTCTTCAAGAAAAAAACATTGATCCTCTCGACTGTACAGCCACAATGTTTAGGGTAGCGACTATGAACATGCTAAATCAAGAATGACTAAAAATATGTATTCGGTCTCGTAAACTAGTGGAACTTATTAGATATAGTTGACATGACATAAAGTCTCGTGCATCATACGATCAACCTTATGTCTCGGACACCATATTGTTCTCGTGCTTCTTCACCGTATCGCTCTTGCTCTTTGAGTGTCGTACTATTTGTGTACCTAACTTAGCATCCACTTTGTTTATGGAGGTTTATGGTTAATATCTAAGGATATGTATATGACATGATCAGGAAGGAAGAAGGTGCTTTTGCTTGGTTAACTGGATTTTCATGTAAATATGCCATCCATCAATTTATCAATTCAAACTTTTGTCTTATTTAGAAATAAACAAAATTTGATGCGGTCAAATTCTGTCATAAGTCCCTATATCAAGCCTAAGTTGTAAATGTAATCCTTGTACTCTAATTCGCTCAATTTAAATATACTTTTCGAATTTTAAAATTTCAACATCATCCAAACCATCCATAATAATGACTAAATTATATAAACTAAATGATCAAATTAGAAAATAAAATAATATACGACTCATGTATAATACAAGATTAATAGTAGAATTTGACTTAACATATTTAACAAATAGTGTTTAGGTAGGACCAAAATTTCAAAAAATGTAATGTACAATGATTGAAAATGACCAAATTAGACTATAGGAACTAAAGTTCATGACTTGGTATAACATGGATGATAAAAGAATTTAACTATTTTATAGTACTTCTACTCAAAAAAGGTAAAATAGACAAATTATCACTAAGCTGTGCTTAAATGATCTTTTTGATCACTGAATTTTCGGTAGTTACAAAATAATCATTAAATTATCAAACTATTATAAATGATCATTACATATTATAAAATAGTAATAATATGATAAGTTTAAAGACCATTTTGTAATAGCTTTTATAAAATGTAATGATTGTTATAATTGCTTAAGAAATTTAATGATCATTTTATAAAATTTTGAAACTCTAATGACCAAAAGGACCATTCCAACATAATTTAGCAACTATTTCTATACTTCACCCTAAAAATATATACATCCGGTCACCATAACAAAATGGGAAAAAATAAAATAAATAAATAAAAGGCAATAATGGCTCTACAACATGACAAATAATCAATGAAATGAATTTGGTGGGAGCTCAAAAGAATTTTCCCCCAAATCAAACCAGATAATTAATTTGAATTTCTTTACTAATATAAATCTTCTTTAAACCCTTAAATTGAAAATAATACACATTTAAGTCCGTTCAAATTTATATTTTTAAAATAAATAATAATAATAACTAAATAAATAATTATTTAAATGTACAAATTATATTTATTACTATAGTTTCAAAAATTTAAAATTATTAACAAAATTAATAAGAAAATATTTCGTATTTTTTATTAGTATGAGATGAATACAAATAATATATATAAAAATTCTTATCATTTAACAATAAAAACTTATAAATCATGCGTACATGATAGAACCGAATCTAAAAGGATAACAATAATTACTTAATTATTGAGGTTGAAATGTAAATTACTTTTTAAAATTAGGCCCACTTGGACAAATCAAGCACCATGTGTACCCTAATTTCCCTCTCAAATCTAACATCAAACCTTCAAAATTCATTACAACCAACTACTGCTATCATTTCATTACAACCAAGTACTGCTATCATTATAAAACATCTCTTACGAGTCCAGACTCATCTTTTCTTCTTACAACCTGCTGGTGTACCAATGGCGGGGAGATGGGCCACGTCAGCGTTCCGGTGGGTGGCTTCGGACCTCCTACCATTCAGCTCCTCCGTCCAGCGGTGGAGTTTCATGGGGTGGCCGCAAATCGGCTTTTCCTTCGTCGACGAATTCGTTGGAGTGTCATAACGGCGTTCGAGTCTGTCGCCTTGGTTTCCATGCTCTGCTTCTTTTTTCTCTTTGCGGCTGCACGTTCTGACACTACGACGGTTAATCGATTGCCGAGATGGATGGAATGGCGTCGGGATTTGACGTCAGCTGCTGAAGTTTTTCTGTCGGATTCCACGGCGGCGAGTTGGCAAAGGTCTCGAGGCTGTTCGTTAGTAGACGATGAACACGTGACCTTTTCAGTCTGTCCCATGTGGAATTTGTTACAATTTTTTTTATGTTTAAATTTGTAATTTACAGTATTTTGAAAAAAAAAAGGGGGGAATATCTTGTAGTTTGATAATATTTTATCAATTTTGATTTTGGACCTTTTATTACGCTCAAATTGATTTAGTTTATGTATCTTAATTTCGTATACTTTGATCTTTTATTTTAAGCATAGTTATTTAATTAAAATATGGCGTAGATTTCTTAAAAACATTTTTCTAACTTCTTGTGTTAATATAATTTTAGGTAAACTACACTCATGATTACTTAATTATGGTAAGATTTTAATTTGACAATCGATCTTTTAATTTTTTTCGATCAAACCATTTAATCATTTCAATAACAT